AAGTTTTCTGTTTTATTAAAATTGTTCTTTGCGATGAGCGTTGGCGTGGTGTCTGCACGGGGGGGGGATGCGGTGCCAGGCAGGGGGTGCCCGCTGCGTGGGGTGATGGTGGGGGGGAAATGGGGGGCGGTGGGTGCCCGAGCTGCCCCGGCTCAGGCGGGGAGGGTTGGGGAACACGGGCATCCCTGGCACCCAGCCTGGCTCCCGCTCCGGGCCTGGATTTTGGGTGCCCGGTGTGGTACCCGGTGCAGTGCCCAATGCCAATGTGGTGCCCGGTGGAGTATCACAAGCCCAGTGCAGTCCCGGTGGCCGGTGCAGTGCCTCGTGCCCAGTATAATCCCAGTACCTGGTGCAGGCCCGGTGGGGTGGCCGGTGCAGTGCCCCATGCCTGGTATGGTCCCGGTGCACTCGCAGTGCCCGGTATGGTTCCGGTGCGTGGTACGGTCCTGCTGCCCGGTGCAGTGTCCCCCACCACTGCACTACTCGATGCAGTGCCTCATGCCCGGTGCAGTCCCGGTGCAGCATCCCACCCCCGGTGCACTCCCGGTGCCCAGTATGGTCCCGGTGCCCGGTACGGTCCCAGTGCCCAGTGTGGTCCCGGTGCCCGGTGCAATGTCCCCCCCTACCAGTGCAGTACTAGATGCAGTGCCTCACCCCCGGTGCAGTATCCCACCCCCGGTGCACTCCCGGTGCCCGGTGTGGTCCCGGTGCGCAGCACGGTCCCGGTGCCCGGTCCAGTCCCGGTGCCCGGTGCGGTGTCCCACCACCACTGCACTACTCGATGTAATGCCATATGCCCTGTGCAGTCCCGGTGTAATATCCGCTCCCCGGTGCGCTCCCGGTGCCGGTGCCCGGTCCGGTGCCCGACCTGCAGTCCCAATTCCGCCGCCAGGGGGCGCCCCGCGCTCCCCGGCAGCGCCGAGGGGGGTCGGCGCCGTCAAACACACTCGGCTCCTTCCGGAAATACTCGGGCAGGGAGGGGCGGGGCCCCGATGGCTGCCGACGGCGGGGGAAGGGGCGGGGCTTTTGAGGCTTCGGGTGGATTCGCTCCTCTTCGGCTTCTGTCGGGTCTTTCCGGGGGCGGGTTCGGATCGTTCCGGCGACGTTCGGGTCCTTTCCCAGGCTGCCGCCGGGCTGGGAGGCAGGAGCGGGCTGGAGGCGAGCGGCGGCGGATGGGGCCGGCGGAGAGGTGGGACGGGGCCGGGGGTGAGGGGGAACGGGGCCGGGATCGAGGGGAGAGAGGGCGGTCGGGATCGGAACAAGACCCAGGGCCTGGCGGGCGGGCCGGCGCCGGGAGCCGCGGTGAGCGCGGCCCCTCAGCCTGAGGGGCCTTGGGGGCCTCAGCGGGCCCCCCCTCCCGGGCTGAGGCCTTGTCCCCTCCCGGGCTGAGGCCTTGTCGCCTCCCCGGGGACAGCACCTTGTCCCCTCCCCTGGTGCCAGGGCAGTGTCACCCCCTGGGCCGTGCCACCCCCAGGCTGGCCCTGTTCCCCCCCCCACCTCCTCAAGGTGCCAGGGGAAGGTCTCCAGTGCCAGGGCTGTGTCCCCCTCCGTGGTGCTAGGGCTGTCCCTGTCCCCTCCCTGTGCAGGGGCTGCACCCCCTGATCCCCCTCAGGCTGTGTCCATCCCCAGCAGTGCCAGCAAAGGGACCTCAGTGCCATCCACCCCCCTCAGCGCAGGGACCCTGCAGCCCCCATCCCTGGGGGTCCTGGGCCCCCTCTGTGGGTGCCAGAGGGGGCTGTCAGGGCTCCAGGCCGGGCTGGGGGCTTGGACCCACCGCTGTTCTGCCCCAGCAGAGCCCAGCCTGGAGCTGGGG